TCCCCTCTAGAACACCACTAAAAGTTCAGAATTTTAAACCTAAGCAGTATTTTCACCTTGTTCTATTATTTGTGCATTTTCCCAATTTTGCAGGAAGAGTTACGTGTTTCTAATTTTACAGACAAAATTCCCCTCCAGTAGATTTTGACCATTAAATCCACAAACCTTCAGTATTCTAGACTGTGAATATCAATCTATACCCAGAGAAGAGAGCACATGTTAGCTTCAGATCATACCCTTGTTCTTAATAATAGATTCATCCCTTTATTTGTGTGAGTGCTGTGCGTCGACCACAGTCCTGCAGAACCTCACCCGCTGTAGGCTGTGTTTGTGCTCACGCCAGAGTAAATCATGAGCTTTCTGGGAAGGCATGCTGTTGCACCGCCATGCACCTAAACCATTTAAAAATCTTTAATAGCATAAACGGGACTCTGCCACAGGTCCCTCGGCAAAACTCTGGAGCCAGTTCTGGAGTAGGGTTACAATAATACAGTCCTTCGCCAGAAAGCAATTTATCAGGAGAGACCCGAAATTACCTGGAATAACGACTCCCAGCGCATGCTTCCAATCTGCTTGAGAAAAGCCCTTGTAAAATGGTTAGAACCTGGTAGGTACCTGGAAGCGTTTATTGGAAGAGGCTTGTCGTTTCTGTGCGGCCCCAGATTTCACGAAAAAGTCAAGGAGCTAAATTTCAATCACTTACAGATCGACCTCGATGGCAGAGCTCCAAATTCTGCGAGCCAACAGCCAGTCGGTGACCGAGTCAAATCATCCAGGCCAGCTTCCCAGTGGATTATCTATAAAGTCCTGCCTGTTTGATTTTTGGTATGCCGTCATTTCGGTTGAACAGCAGCACATTTTGAAACAGTCCTGTTGCGGTTATTACAACATCACAAATAACTATTGTTTTCTGATAAATCATCATATAATACAGTATATTTCTTAGACCGTTGAAAGCCACACAACTCCAGGTCACTGAACGGAGCCGTCTCTTTCTTTGTAAAATCATTGTTTTATTGAACATTTTCCAAAAAAAGAACAAAACATTACAACACCGTCCCCCCAATTCTCTTCTCTTTCACCTCCCCTCTTGCTCTTTGTGGTAACTTGCACTGATTTTCCTGTCAAAGGGCCCCTAAAATGAAGACAAGCAGCTATGACAGTAATACCAAGCAATAAGGATTTCCCCACTTGCGCAGGAGGTCTCCAAAACTTCTCTGTCCTCTGAGCTCCATCCTCCATCTCCATCTTAGGCAAATGGTCCCATACATCTGCCTAATAATAACCTGCTGATGGATGATGTCACTTCAAGACTACTCCACCTATCTCAATTTACCACTAAATAATTCACAAGATTTGTTTTTATTTTATTTTTTTCTGTGTGAAAGGCATTATTAAAATTGAATAATTTAATTAATTTAATAATTTATCATAACTAAACTCTGTCACACCCAGGGTTCAGAATGCCTTCATGATACTGTAACACGGTTGTTTTTCAAGATTACAAGACCAGATCAATCATTAATTAAGACAGAGGCTTTAACAATGTCCTAAACCTCCCTGAGCCAGAGGCTGAGCCCCTGCTCAACCGCTCACATCACCCTGCCACTAACGATGTCCCAGACAAATCTAATCCAAAACAGAACATTGTTCTAGAGGAGGATTCTGACTGCAAGAAGACTATAAGAAGAACTCTTCTGAAGAGACAGGAAATGGCCTCTGTGGTTAAAAAAACAGATTCCCTGCATTAATAACTTGATTGAAAAAAAAACATGTTGCAAGTTCTGTCATACAGTGAAAATAAATCCATTTCATTTCCATTTTATTAAGACCTGGAATTTGTTTTCTGATCAAACATCATTTTTTCACTTTTTTGAAGATCGCATTTGTGCTTTGTTTCCATCTACGTGTGGACTCCAGTTTGAACTCTATATAGTGTAAAACTATATATAGTACCAGCCATTGATACAGTCTCTGCTTCAAGTACAATGATCTTTTTGAAAGGACTTACAGGCATTTCAGGGGCGAGGTTTGCCACTGATAGTACTTAAGCCAGCCAGGAAACACAGATTCGTTCAACAGCCCTTTAGATACGGTCATATAAAAATTCTTTTCTGTGGTTTTCACCATCTATTTCTAGAAGAAAACCACTGTCACCCCTGTAGCAAAACAATAGTACAGTCAATAGTGTGATGAGTCAGCACTTCAACTGGCAAGAAACCTAAAGATGCATAAATGTCTCTAGCAGTCTTTCCATTAACTAAATCGAAAAATACACTTTAATTAAAATGTGAAATATTCATAAGATGACTTCAGAAGCCACTGAAAGTTCAGCTATTAGTTCAAAATAATATTATTGTCTTACTTCCTATATCAAAAAAATCTTTTCACCTCCACACAGTGCTGCAGAGAAGCTTTAATGTCTATAAAATCAAATCATGCTTTTAAAAAGTATAGAAATTTGTATCAATTAACTCAAGTATAGTCATATTACAATGAAAAATCTCAGATGGATTTCTACAAACTTATATAGCCTTTGTTGGTTTGCTGTTTTATTATCATTCCTTCATTTTTTCAATAAACTCATTAATTTTTTTACTCCATCTTCATTGCAACTCCAGTTTGAACTGTTATGCTTCAATGTTATCTGATACTAGCCTTTGCTGGTTTGCAACTCTGATCCTAGCCTTTTTCAGAACTAGAGCTAAAACAGTTATTCATTTGTTCTAACATCTCTGTGCTTATTTATTAAAACATTTTCCATACTATTCATTTACTCATTCTCAAAATCAAGGAGCAGCTCTTTGTAACAGGCACCTGGCAATAAAATTAGACATGTTGCCCCCTTTTGCTGTTAGCATAACCTTTGACCTTTGTTCAGTTTGTCATAATATCCATTTCCTCTCAATATGCTCAGGCCCAGATCCCTCAATCAAAATCTCCTTCCTTCACGACCAGGTTAAACACATGAAACACCAAAGTAGCATGCCATCTATTTTACTCTCACGGACAATTACGAACAACGAGCTGTTCCTTAAAGGAAGGAAATGTGAATTACTGCACATTTAGAAACTCAGTGAGGGCTTAAGGTTTGCATGGTATTTGGTTTTAAAAAACACAGTGTACGTTCCAAGCAAAGCCTGTTTAATTTACAAAATCAGCAGTACGGTGACAAGTACTGTGCTGGAGCTAATGAAAACAGCACTTTAACTCCATCTAGATTACATACTTGAACATGGTTAAGAATGAAAATTCGCACTTCATCCTAGTGTCATAAAAGAAGTAAGAAGTGTCATAGAAGAAAGAAAAATACACATACTACTGATTTGTTTTCAGAGTGTGCAGTCAATATATATTTTTCTGTAATTCTGAGCATTTTCTAAATTCACTACCTATATTAACATATTGGCTTAATCAGCGGATCTAAATCATTTTTGTTTTAAAAAAAAAATAAGAAAAATAACTATTCCTGAGTTAGCGAAAAGCAAAAAAATAAAAAAGCAAAAATCTTTTAAATGGGTCTCACAAGAATTATACATAATATGTGTTAACTGTAAGAAACATGATAATAAACTTCAGAAATGTGGCATTGCTGCATTCTGTAAGAGGAGGGCACTGCTAGGCCATTGTTGTTCTGTATTAAATGAAATGCAACACATTTTACAAAACACTGTTCTACAGTTTTACTTGCAAAACAAGAGTGAAGACCATTTTTTGTATTTTTAAACATGTTTATCTCATGTGTAAAAAAATACACAGATTTACATTCCAAATAATGAAGCTTCGCGGCTCCCTTGACATGACATCTGTATCTCATTCATTGTCTACAAGCAAACTTGAAAAAAACAGGAAACTGTTCCTTTTCCCCAATTCCCAGCCCACAATGTAAAGCACCCCTTTTCAGATTGTTGTCAGGTTTCCTCTTTCAGCAAAATGAAACGTGCCGGAAATTCTGCAAAGCATTTCCTTTTACTAAAAGAAAAGATCTCTGGGTGCCACATAAGTGCCCTCAATGACATTGAATAGACAGAAGTCAGAAGTCAGTTATGGATCCTGGAAGCACCAGTGTTAACCATTAAGCTCCATGCTAAAACAAAATGCTTATACTATATTAAAAGTTCAGAATTGAGGATTAAGGATCAGTAAAAGGGAAAACCTCTTTTCCCACCTCATCTCACTGTCTTTCTAGAGTATATTTACAGGTTTCTATTTCCCAGCATTCATCGCAGATACACCTTCCTACCATCTGTCAATGCAATAGGTCTTCTGCTCATTGTTGAGGGTCCTGTCTTTCACATCCATCTGACCAACTGGTCACCCCTCAAACCAGGTGGGTTCAAGGCAAACATTGATAAATGCTCTTCTTTATCGCAATCTTGTTCCTGGGGTTTGAACTAAAACTTCTGAACTGAAAACAGTATTGCAATTTTCATACATCAGGTCTTTTGGAAGCCAAAACTCTTTCTGGTTTTACTAAAGAAAATGATGCAGTAATATTAAAATATATATAACATTGCCCAACTGTGAATGCGGAGAGCTCTTCCAGCAGTCAGTTTTAGAAGCAATGAGGTAATAGGTAAACAGATAAGGGTTCAGAAGAGCACAGAGAAGCACAGTTTAAATGCTATTATCCCAGGAAATTTCTTGGGTAAACCTGAAATACTGTAAAGGCCTCTCTAAATAAACATCCTCTGGGGTTTAAACTGGACCCAAACGAAGAGAGGTCAGCAGCTATCATCTTCTGAGTCAACTAAGTTCTCTTTTTTGTATGCATGGGAGTGACTTTTCAATATACCTTTAAGCAATCCTATAATTTTCTACAGCCTTGTAAAATGTTTTAAAGGTATCTAACCAAGACCATAAAAAAGCAAAGCTGTTTAGTAAACGGCTTGATTGCCTTGATAGTTTACACATGGATTTTCAGTTAGCTCTGAAAAGTATTTCTCAACTGCTCTTCAGAAAAACCATGGAAAGGTTTAACTTTGAAATGTTCCTCTGACCTGATCGTCGTAACGATATGTCAGAAACTGCTCCCCTGTGGTGTCTTCAAGAAAGCTCCCCTGCGGAGACAGTGCAAATTCTGGAAGGAAGTAAGCACTTTGTGACTGGCCTGCTCCCCTCTGTAAGACAAAAAAAACAATGTCCAATTAAAAGACTGCAAAGATGTTAAATAACACATTTTTCTTACACAGCTTTGAAGGGATTAGCCCACTGAAGTGATAATGGTATTTTTAAAATTTTACAGTTGACAAGGGCATTAAAACATTCTCTGCCTTATACCTTCTGGTTACAGTTTTACAGGAGAACAGCTTTCATAAATTGTCTTAAAGCGTTCTATAAATAGGGCTGGAACACTGCCTGAAAAGTAGGAGTTTTAACCAAAATCAAAGATTTGTTTTGAATGTTTGTTTCTTAGAGCAACATCTAATGAGCTCCTGTTTTGGCATCCAAAATCCAGTGGTATTTCTATCTCCCCTTCAGTACCTGGGAGAGAATAAGTGTTAAATTGATCTAATTAAGGCTTAACTGGCGCGATACAGTATAATTCTTCTCCACACAGGCTTGATCTGATCTCACACTGAGAAACAGAGAGAAAGGTGGGACCCATGCATTAGACAAGCATAGTATTTATAATACTTCTAAATAAATGCCATGTTTTTGGACAGCACTTAAGGGACCACACCCCTGTTGGTAACCACACCTTAAAATGTTTCCTTTTTCTTCCAGTTTGCTCTCTACATGAGACACAGTTAGTTTAAATGTGTTACACAGGTTCTTGAAATAAATAACCGTAAATTTCTTAAAGTTGGTTACTGTACATTCACATTTCTAGCACTTAAGACCTTTTCCAAAAATATATTGTTCTCATAATGAATTCAAATATATCTACCATTCAATATAATGTGCAGTGTTAACAGAATGATCTGAAACAATTAATACCAGCTGCACAAGTGATCAACACAGACTGAATGGTGTCCTTACTCATGGTGTTTCCTGATTTGATGGTTACTCAGTGAGATGATGTACAGTAGGCGTTTAACAAAATACAGAAGCAATTTTAGTGAGATGTGAAAACACAACTTAATCTAATTCTAAAGACATTTTCTAGAATTTAGAAATTCAACTTTTCCATTAATAATCAATATTTCAATTATCAATTCCCTGAGAACCTCAGGTTTTTGGCACAAATCTGTTATTTCTTTCTGAGTGGATGTCAATTGCAAACACGGAAGTTAATTCCAAATATATGAATGAGAAGCTCCATATTCCACGCATACTTGCCACATGTCCTGTACCACATGTCGACCCATTCAACCAAACACCTCATAAATCAATGGAAAAAAATATTAACCAGTATTTACTCTCCCTGTCTGCCTCTCAATACATGAACAAGCCACACTAAAAATAATCAATTAATCAGCCCAGAAACATTCAAGTTACAATTCAAGGACATTTTATCACTGTTCAAATTGTACTAAATCATTTCTACTTCCAGCAGTTCTAAAAACACGTGACTTACTAACACATAAAGCTGTTTATTTAGGTTAGAACCGGTTCCAAGTCTGAAACATCTAACATCGTCACTCGTTTGTGTTTGCATTTGTTTTGTGATGTAAATCCTGCAATGTGGTTTTCAGCTCCCACTTGAGCTTGGGAAACTACTGTATCTCTGACTGATGAGGATGCAAAATCCCTCATGAGAATCTGGAAGTTAAAGAAAGTTATATGAACTCCTTCTAAAAACGTACATTGAAATATTGCAGTCATACATTATCATCGACAGTGTTGTCTAAAACAGATGTTTGACCCAGAGTAAGTGTCCACTGTGACACCCAGGTCACTTTAGAGTAGACTGTTAGTACAGAACTAGTCGTCTTTATAGTAGACGCAGTTAATCTTTGAGTTAACAACAGAACATCACATTATTAGCACTATACAGTTTCTTGCATTAGGAATTCATGTTTTCGCATACCCCAGCTTGCTCTCCATAAGACACAGACAGGGAGAGAGAAGCTTGAGGTCAGAGTCCAGGGTCAGCCATTGTACAGCGCCCCTGGCCTTGCTCAGTGGGATTTGAACCGGCAACCTTCCAGCCTCAGGCACAGAGTCTTAGCCACAGAGCCACTGCTCTGCCCTAATGATTAGCTCAATACAGAACTCATCTGTCTCCTCTATCTCTGCTGCTTAATTGTTTAGCTTGTCCCATTCTCAGTCTTAAAGTTTTTAACCAAATGGCACTAAGAAGAAATTTATTTTGTGACTTTCTCCACAGGTTTCATAATACACACATATTATGTCCTAATATCTGCCAAAACAACATAAAATGTATTACAAATGGCTTGATAATGGTATTGGTTTCATAATAATTTGTCAAAAAAAAAACTAATAATTGAGCTCATGCATGGGCAAATGCTGTGAATTTGTCTTTCTTATTGTGAAACCAAAAAAACAATTTAAGCACTTTCTAATCTCCTATGCCAATGTATGTCCAGTATATATAAGCAATTCTGTTAAAGCTAAACATTTTGACTGCTTGTTTAGTTATGAGTCATCAGAAAAAAGATAATGTAATCACTTTTTGTTCTCACTGTTATTTTTTAACATCATACCTCAACAATTATGTCATTTTTGGCTTTTATAGCTCAAAATTGGTTAAATTTAACACATACAGTATGAGTATTCACAGGTGCATAATGATTCTAAGGTGGAGCACAAACTTCACAAAAATCGATCAGCTTGATGCTCACTTCCAATGACTGGAGCTACCAGTTAGCCAATCTGGGCAAAACTACTGAAGCCTATTAGCACCACAAAAAAGTAAAAATATTTTTTCCATTTCAATGAGATAATTTTGCATTTAAACTAAATACTTTATGTGTTTAAGTGAGATACCATTGAGTTAAAACAGGATAATTACTTTGTGAACAATATTTCATAATATAATCATATTTTCAATATATATGTAATAATACTATCCCATCCTACTGTAAGTAGCATTGTCTTTAACAACAGAAGAATATCACACTGCTCTTTGTGCAAATGAATTAATCTAAAGGAGCACATATAATGTCTTTTGTATGCATAAAGTGAAACACCCTGTCATTGAGCATTCATGGGTTAAACATTTGTCTTTTACCAGTTCTGTGAGTAACAGAAATTACACAACAGAAACATACTGTGCATAGGTTTTTTCCTAACTGTTAAATATTGAACAAAATACATTTTTGATTACTTGACTTAGAACGTATCCCTACTGTTGGTTTGCTGTTACTGTTATTGTTATTGTTAGTCGATCATTGGATCTTAAAGCATAAAAACCTTGAAAGTTTTTAGACAATGCTTACATCAAATACATTTGAATTTGCAATTACACTGCAGCATACAGGAAATGGGTCATTTGAAGGGAGAAGAAACAGACAGTATTTCTGTGTCGGTTTGCACAAACATGAATGTAAAGAGATATGTGAATGCCAAACAAAAGAAAAACAATTCTAGGACAGCACAGAAGCCATAGCCAAGAGAGTAATACATTTATTAGAGTCCTGTTGTGGGTGATGACTTAGCAAGACTACCTTGTTGATTGTATTATTAAATCTTAATCTAAGTCCTAATAATACATAAAATAAAATCCTTAAATGATGCAACATTCAATATGAAAAAGTTATGTGGACCTTTCGATTCAGTAACTGGTGGCACCACCTTGAGCAGCAATGACAGCAACTAAATGTTTCCTGTAACTGCTGGTCAGTGTCTCATATCGGTTTTGAGGAATTTTGGCCCTTTCCTTGCATGGGGAGCTCTCTTCAGGTCTCACCACAACATTTCGATGGGGTTTAGGTCCGGACTTGATTAGGATGACTAGGCCAATGTGAAACGGAGCTGTTCTTCTTCTGAAGTCCTACTTTTGTAGAGCTGCTTGTAAAGTATGTTTAGGCTGATTGTCTTGATGCAAGACCCACTTTCATTTCAGTTTCAGGTCATGGATGGATGACCTGACATTCTCTTCTAGAATCTTCTGAAACAATACAGAACTCATGGTTGTGTCAATGATGGCACACTGTCCCAGTCCTGAGGCAGCAAAGCAGCCCAGACCATCACACTCCACCATGCTTGATGAATGGGATGAGGTTCTTCAGTTTGCAGGCTGTGCTTGCTGTACTTTGAAACAGGCCAAACAGTTCTACCTTTGACTCATCCAGAGAACTTTGTTCCAGAAGCTTCGGGAACATCTGTGAGCTCTATATACAAGCATTAGGCAGGTAGCAATGTTAATTCTGCAGAGTAGAGTAGTTTTCTTCTTGCTATCTGTAACACCATTCTTTTTCCATTGTTTTTTGATGTTGAGTCATGAACAGTCATATTAGCCAAGTCAAGAGTTGCCTGCAGTTCCTGGGATGTTACTCTGATGTTTTCTGTAACTTCTTTTATAATTTAATGGTATGTTATTTCAGAGATTTTGGTAGGAGGACCGCTCCTGGGAAAAGTGACTATGGTGTTGAGCTTTATTCATTTGTAGACTATCTGGTTAAGAAACTATATGTTTCTGAGGTCCTCAGAGATTTCCTTAGATCATGGCAGGACTTTTTTCCACATATTTATATGGTGAAGACCAAACATGTTTTGTTTTCCAAACTAAGTCCACAAGATCTACCTGATTATTTAAACAACTGATTCTAATAATTCCCTTATGAAACCTGGGGTTCACTAACGTTTTCACATCTCCTGTGCCTTTATTACTCATTGTTTAATTCCTACAACGTTTTGTTTCAAGAGACATTGAATCGGTTACTAAAATCCCTATTGGATATTTACATAAAGACTAGATTCAAGAAAGCTATTATGGTAAAACTGTGAAATTTCCATATTTATCTTTGGGATACAAAAACACACAAACTTTTTCTTGGCACTGTATCTAGTTGCAATTTTTTTTGACTGCTTGTTTATTTATGAGGCTATGGAAAATATTATGAAATAACTGTTCCTGATCTCAGCTTACATTTATATATTTATATATACTGTCAACACATACAAGTAGAAAAAAACTAGAGAATAAATAGAGGGTTGGTTCACCTCCAGTAGCAATTGGAGTTATAATGGTTTTGGTTCTGCTAGATATTCA